CTCTTCACAATGTTAGTACAATTACAGACAGATCTCAAAAGCTAGGGAAGGCTGGATGACACATAACTGGCTACTTGGCTTGTAAACATCCCTGGAGACTGTTTGCAAGAGCAGAGGTGTCAGCACCAATGACCTGGTTGATTCCCATGCTGGCCTTGCACAACGTTAATCTGCTCCTTTACTCACCCGGCGAAGCAGCGTCTCTCCTCGCTGCCCTGCTGTGCACTGGGGCTCCTGTGCTACATAAAAATGTTATTTATCATTATAATTAAAACAATATTGACACTGTTAGTAGATTTCTGATATCGGACAACTCTGTGCCAGATCTGAAGAGAATGATTACAAACACTGTTCGGAGTCAGAATTCCACTAGGGTATGATAATTTATAACACAGCTGTTTCAAAACTAAACTGGCTTTATAATTTGTATATCTCTCCCTGGTGCTCGCATGAAGCTGAGGTGAAGATGAATTCGCAGAAGGAATGGGTATTTCACAGTGGCAGGAAGGTTGTGAAGTCTGCGTTTATGTGATTTTTCAGAAAGGACTGGAAAATGAAACTACTTCAACAAGTGCCCTTCTGTTTGAAACTCAAAGAAGTAAATGTAAATTTAATTTATTAACAGGAGTCTGCTGTGGCTTAGGAGTGTATACCAATTTATGGACAAACATCTCACATTTTGACCATAATGTCCACATTTTAATTACCATATTTACTGTTAATTAGTAAGTTAAAAGGAGATCCCAGTTTTGGTGTTGACTTGCATTGTCCTAATGTGTTTCTGTATCTGTTTAACACGTTTCTGTGTACCTCTCCTGTGAAAGTTCTGTATTGGATCTTTAGAAATCCACCTGCAGGAATATGCTTTCTGACCTTTAGATGGCGCTCTTTTAGAGGAAGAGTAGGCCTGACGTTGAACTGAAAAGAAAACAACTAAATTACTTAACACATTTCTCTGCCCAGTGCTCCTTAAGGCCATTAGCAGCCTAAAACAGGAAAATAAGAACAATTACAAACAAAAAGAAACCATTTGGCCCAGTTGGCTCATTTGGAAGTTAGTGGCTAATTAATCCAAGGATTTTATGCAAATGTTTCTCGAAAGAAGTCAGGCTTCAGCACCGTGGCTGGGTAGCTTGTCCCACACTCCCACACCTCTTTGCATAAAGAATTGCCTCCTGTTCTCTGTTTTAAATGCATTTCCTTGAGTTTCCTTGTGTCCTCTGGTTTGTGTTTTACTGTTCATTCTGAAGAAAATTTTCGCTCAGTCTTCTCTGCTCAAGACCAAAAGAATTCAGTTCCTTCAGTCTTTCAGTGTGGGACACTCCCTTCAGACTAAAGAGACCAGTTCCTTCAGTCTTTCAGTGTGGGACACGCCCTTCAGACTAAAGAGACTCAGTTCCTTCAGTCTTTCAGTGTGGGACACTCCCTTATACTCTAGGTTATATCTGGTTTAATTCTCAGGACTGATTCCAAAACAACTGTACAATTTTAAAGTATCATCCCTTTAAATTCTACACCTTTAACTATGTATCCTAACATTTTTGTTGTGTTGAAAATGTTAATTGTGAGTCTGTTTTCATAAGTAGCCCCTTCAAGCTCAGTGTTTCCCATTCTGTATTGACTGTAGTTTATGTTTTTGCTACCTGCATGCGAAACCCTGCACTTGTCTGCATTAATCCTCGTTAATCTGCCAGCCATCGGCCCTGTCCTGACTTTGACCCAAACCTGTGTATCTGACAAGGTTGGGGTCTCCAGGTCTTTGGCCTGAGGGCCAAACACCAGCCTCTTGCACACCAGGGTTCGAGGGCTATGAGCTCTGAACAAGAACTTTCCTTTGAATTTTAAGTCAGGATGATAAATAAAAAGAACCATAGAAAACCACCAAGACTAAAGACCAAAGATGGAGCTCCCAAGCTTGAATTTCCCTGAATATTTCTCTCCGGGGGGAGTGCGATATTTATACTGCAGTGCTGCAGTTCTGGAAACTTTTTTTCCTCTATGCGATTTTCTCCTCTTTGCGAATGACTGTGTCCTTGCGGAGATGTGTAGAGGTTTGTGTTCCATTAAAATACTAGACTTTAATGCAATCGCCAGGCAGGTGGATTGTTTTCAAAATGTCCGTGATATTTTCGCTTTTTCACTATTATGGTGACGAACTCTGGAGGGAGTGAAAATGGAGATTTCAGCTTTAAATGAAAATCTTCTCCAGGTGCTGGGTTTCCTGGGACCCTGGGGCGGGTCGATAGCGCTGATCATTCCGTTTCTGTGCAGCAAGGAGTAGGATCAGCGATCTGCTGATCAGTTGGCGCCGGTGGCAGTAGACGAGACAGGTGTGAAGCCTTGTCCTTGTCCTTGAGGCTTCTGAATCAATGCACAGTGTCCCCGGCCACTCCTGATGCATCTTCACTGCTGCAGCTGTGAAGACGCTCACCCTGCACATCCCGCACACCGTCCAGGTGTTGGAGCAGCCTGACCGCGCAGGCGGCGCGGGTGTCTGACACTGTAGCCGAGCTCACCGGGGGGGGGGGGCGCGTTCTGGTCCCGGGTGCGGACACGGGTTCGCTGTCTACAGGTCTCTGCAGAGCCGGTTTTCTGTCGACACTCAGTGGGCATTCAGCGTTTTGTTCTTTTTCCTCTGTAAGCCGGAGCGCGGTTGCGCTGTTTCCACAGCTCCTTGTACAGACCGCTAGTCGTCTGGGGGACGCGAGTGACTCCCAGCCGAGGTCCCGGGGGTGCGGGGGTGCGTGCATGTCACCCCGTGTAGGGACCAGGGGCCGAGGCCAGCGGTCAGACACCGGGCACCGGGGTGCCCACAGCTGACCGCGAAGCAGCCGCGGTTCCCTGTCACAGTACAGCACTGACACAACCCGGGAGCGGGCCTCTCTCCCTAGACAGGAGTGGAAAAAAAAAGAAACCCCTCCGCCGTCCCTCCCCGACAATCCAGCCACGGCCCGGGAAGCGGCGTGGACCTGCCCCGAGTGGGCTCCGCTGCCGAGGCTGGCACGCCGGCCGGACCCGCCCATTCTGCGGCTGCCGGGGGGAGGAGGGTGTCCGGGAGGCGGAGCCTGCGCCGCCCCGCCGCCGGGCTGGCGGAGAGCAGTAGTACGGTCCGCGCTGCGCTGGGCTCTGGCGGAGCCGGTGCGCCTGTCAGTGTCACCATCAGCACCCGCAGCCGCTCGCAGCCATGAGACAGGCTCTGCTCGAGCTCAGGATGAGCAGGATCTGCCGGATGGTGCTCGCCACTTGCCTGGGGTCTTTCATCCTCGTCATCTTCTACTTCCAAAGTATGTTCCACCCAGGTAAGGGGGGCTCGCCGCCTCGGCTTCTCGGCCGCTTCCATCCCCGACCCGTCTCGCCTCTGCGCGGGGGCTGCGGGAGCTCAGGCTGGCGGAGGACGCGGGATTGTGCGGGGCAGCGTGGCGCGGACGAGCGGGGTCTTCCTGCAGAGAGATGCGCGCTTTCCAGGCGAGTGTCGGCGTATTGCACGCCCTGTGCTTGTGTGGGGAGGTGGGCTTCTGTAGTTTCGCAGGGCGTTTGGTGCCAGGGGCATCTGTGGGTGGCAGATAGGAGCCCCTCAGCGGGCGCTGGACACCCCTTCACGTCCCCACCACCCACCCCGGCTCCCGGCTGGTCAGTGGGGTGGGTGCCCGCAGTCCCCGGCCAGCAGCGCCGTCTCACCGGGGGCAGCGCGTCCCCGAGTCCCCGCCGCTCACAGCCGCGCAGCGCTGCGGTCGTACCTGCGCTCGGACCCGAGCTCCCTCCGGGCCGGACGCCGCGGGGATCCGGGAAGGACCCCCTGTTTTCCAGGGTGCCCACTGGCTCCCGGGAGAACAAAAGCCCCCCCCCTCCCCCCCCGTGAGTCTGAGTCAGAGTCACTTGTGGTGTCATGCAGGCGGGTGTGCGATCGGTGCACCAGGGGCATCTCCACCGTCCCCCTGTCGGGTCCCCGTGTGTGGCGGTGCGACACCCTGGTTTTTACTGTGTTCAGGTGAACCCGAGCGCTGTTACGGGTCCGCGCTAGAAGTTGTGTAGCGTGGCATTCACTACCTGAGCGCTTAGACAGATCAGCGTGTGATGATAATAATAATAATAATAATAATAATAACAGCTGCTTGCTTGTGGGTTCGAATGTAATCTAGGATCACGAGTTTCCAGTTTATTTATATTTTTTTAGTTCTGTAAAATCGCTAGTTCACCCAGTCTAACATCTCACACGGTGAAACCCCCTTTGTCATGAAATTTGCCGAGGTTAAAAATGAATACAGCACGTCTCCTTTCCCTGTGGGCGCTATTGCAAGTGGACGGTCGTACAGCTTTCTTGCTCGCCGGGCTCGCTGTAATTCCCCGACCAGTGCCGGCGGTAGGTTAAAGAGCAGCACCTGTGTGGCAAGCGAACTGGCCAAAAAAACACATCTTATTCGAAGCAGGAGGCGGTTTTACACCAGTCGAGCACCGGATTGTGAGTAATAAATATAAAAGATGCTGGAGGTGTTCGACGGCTACGTAATCCGGCAGGTAAAACACAAATTAAAGGGAGACCAGATTGTTCTTAATCCGGATTGTTGACTCGGAGAAGTGCAGAAGTCTTTCTTGAACTTTGTTAATGTCGAGTTGGAGGTGCGATACCGAAACACGTATCAAGCCCCTCAGTGACGTTGTTCTTGTTGAAATACCGGGCCGTCGAGTCTGTTTTTTTGTGCCTGAACGAAACTGTCCTTTGGCACTCGAGGACTAAACTAGCCCCAGAACCAGGCTGGCGTTTTTTATAGCATATAGGAGCGTGCTAGCTGTGTAAAAATAAAAACGTTATTGTGGCAGTTGTCTTATTTGTGTCAAGGGCACGGGGCTTTTAATAGTGCACACACCGAGCACAACGATAGCGAAAGAGCCAATACTGCTCCTGACTGGAATAACGGGATACTTCATTACAATGTGAATGTGCTCTAACCGTCGATTTGTGCCTCCCGTTGTCCTGTGACGAGGGAAAGGGAAACAATGGAGCAACACGTCCACACAAAGGGAATTCACAAGCGCCGTGTTGGAGCTCCAGCACTCCAGCTGAACGCGCGTAAGAACATAAAGGTTATATTCATCCCGTCCAGTTCGCTTGGTCGTTAGTAGTTAATCGATCCCAGGACCTCATCCAGCTGTGTCTTGAAAGAAGCCAGAGTATCGCCTTCAACACCATGGCTGGCCGGCTTGTTCCACGCTCCCACCATTTTTGTGTAAAAACCTCCCCCCCCCCCTCCTCGCCCCCCTGGGCTCCGTGATTCACTGCTCATCCTGGAGAAAGGCGTTTGTTTCACTGTGATAATGCTCTTAAGAATTCTGAATGAGTCAGTTCACCCCCTTGTCATCTTTTCTGTTCAAGACTAACATGGTTCAGTTCAATCAGTTCAACTTGTCGGTGTAGGAGATTTCTTTCAGCCCAGGATCCTCCTGCGTCTGGTTGATCAACCAGAATCTTCTCTGGTCTGATTCCAGAGTGGCATGGCGACCAAAACTGATCACAGTATTCCAAGAGCGATTTTACTAGAGCTTGATGTCAAATGATGTTAGACTACAGCTACAATTTTAACATACCATCCCTCGATTTAATTTCTTTGCCTTTTTTACTGTTCATTCTAACATTCTGTTTGCTTGTTATTCATTATGCCACAGTGTCAGGAAGATGTAAATATTGTTATATTCTCGTAAGTAGCCTCTTCAAACTCAGCATTTTTAGGTTTTGTCATTATAATTCCTTTTTTTCAATAACATTCTGCATGTCATCTGCCGGGAGTTGCTCCGTCTTGAGTTCTAGGTAAATCTTTTTGAAACTCGGTTGCATCTTCTCAAGGATTTGCTGACCCTCCTGTTTTGGAGTAGTCTGTAAGCCTGGCTAGGTTTCCGCCAGTACCAGAATCAAGATCGTTGAAATAAGATGGGAAAGCAGTGGTCTAATCTGGAAACAGCACAGAAGAGTGATTGGAGTTCCCTCAAGAGAAAAGTGAGGTATCTGATCTGCAGGAAAACCAGCCTCCATCTCAAAGCATCATGGCATTATGGCGTCCTTGCGCCTTAGAAACTACAATAAAGCAAACCAGAGCCACGCTCCAAGCGCCTGTCTGAAGTGCTAGGTAGCCTCTGGCCTTCTCCAGATCCGCTGGGATTGGACAGACAGGAGGAAAGCACGTCAGTCTGCGCAGTGTGCGGTCTGTGTAGCCGCAGCGCTGTGTTTACTGTGACTGTAACATGGTCCCGCCTGGCGTGTAGCTCCGTGAGATGCAGCTTCCTGTTTACAAAGTCAGGCCTCCGAAGACACTGTTTGTCCAAGAACACCCCTAAGCCCAACGTCACAGGGCGTCACAGGGTGTCACAGGGCCCCAAGTGCCAAGAGCTAGACTCTCCCTTGGAGGGTGCGCTTCAAGCCTGTCTTTTAACACACCCCAAATCTAACACGGGACTCCGAGTCTTTGAGAAGTTTTTGTTTTATGACTTCAGCTGATTGCAGTTGTTTTGAGCACAGAGGGGTAATAGCAGTGGATAAGGTTTAGCTTTGCGCTCAGAGCGTTTGCAAGCCGCACAGACCACTTCCTGCTGGAGGTTGTGCTGTTGTGTCTCTGGGCTCTCAGTAATTAAATGCATCCCAGGTAAAAAAAAAGGGCAAGTTACACTTGTGGTGGTTATGTCTTTGTTAGATAGATAGATGAGACTTTATTGATCCCGAAGGGAAATTGATGTTATGGCTGTGTACTGTATTGGTACGTTTGGTGTTAGGTCTGTGATTCTGACTGCAATTGTAATTATGCTGTATGGTTTAATTTGCAGAGATAATCAATTCCAGTTCAGCTGCAACTAGCCCAACAGTTATGAATTTGATCCACTGCGTATGGGGCACTTACTGACCACAACAGAAGCACAACCCTTAAACATCTGCAGGTCCATGGGCTGTTACACTTACCTTTCACTGTTCACCACATCGCTCAGTTTTCAGCCACTGAGGGTGAGTCCAGGCCTTGAGACAAAGCAAAACTCCCCCAGGAAAGAGATCTTAGAATCCTACAAAAGACTCTTTAACCTCTTTACAGACAGGATTAGAATACCTGGTGAATTACCAGGAAGCCACAGATCATCTGCATACATGTGTTCTTGTGCTTGCATCTGCTGTTATTGCTTATTTAGTCAATCAAGTGCAGACATTAATTTATGCTGTTTTTTTTTGGTTAAGTATAACTGTAATTACAATGGAATTACTTCCCCATAATGATAAGTGGGATTGTATTGAAACATAATCTAATTTTATTCCATAATGTTGGGAAGTCCTCGGTATCGATGCTCCTTTGTCTGGACTCCTTGACTCCTGTTTGTAGAACTTGAGGTCAATAAAACATGACTATGAATGAATAATTAAGTTATCCCCGGAACATCTCTATGCCCTCTTGATCAGTTTTTCCGTAAAACTCACAGATTCGAAGCCTGAACTGAGCTGGATTTGTACGTTCAAGTGTGAGTGCGGCGGTAGGGGTTCCCTTGGAAACAAAGCAGCAAAGAGAAAGAAAGCGGAGTCTGGGGAAACAGTGAGCGGGATGGGAGTGGAGGTTTGTGTGGAACTCCGGATTGCAGAAGCCAGAAGAGAGGGGTGTGACCTGCACACTGGAGATGATGACTCGATTGCTGTAATTACCGCAGTTCCTTGTGCCTTGGTGGTGGGGAGAGTGTGCCTGTGTGGTTTATAACCCAGAGCAGAAGCAGGATCTCGGGGCAAAAGAAGAGAATTTGTACAAATACAAACCACTCACCTGTGCCTTGAGCAAACACACAGCCTGTTCTTTACCACGGGATTTAACTCAGGATGTCCTGCCTCTCTGTTATTTGTCTTGTCTTGTCTTGTCAAATTGTGAATTGTACACTCCATGACATTAGTGATTGTAAGAAGATAAAGGCAGAGAGATCAGTATCGCAGCTGTAAAGTGGATATATCGCCTCGGGCAATAAGATTTTCTGAGGACATCAAAGATCATTTTTTTGAATATTAAAGAGATCTTACAATGTTACGGAGTAAATTCAGAAGAAACTTTGGAAACTCTGAGGCCTCTATATTTACCGGATTCAGATATTTTCTCCTGCGGTTTTGATCATTTCTTCCCTACACTGGGAATGTTGCGGGTGTCCTGCCTGGAAGCTCCGGGCATGTTGAGCACAAAGACCCCATCGCTCATCCCTCTGCCGTCCCGCTGGCTGAATCAGCTGCAGTGAAGCTCACATCTGCGTTCTTCCATGTTTCCTTGACACTGTCGGGCTCCATTCAGCACAGGGA